TGCCGGCCCTACCTCAAAAAGATCTGCAACGGCATCAACAAACTGCTGGATGAGAAGGTTCTTTGAAACCGCGCTCGAAGGCAAGAAACCGACCAAAAACTTCTCTCTAGAACTGGCCACCCCTCCTAAGCCATGGTAGGCAAGCAAGCTTCCTTCCCATCAGTCTTACTACAATCCCCTGCAGGGCCCAGAAGGTGCTCACCAGGCTCGTGGTGAAGTGGAAAACTTAAATGAGAAAGCTGTCGATTTTAATGCTTTGTTCAGATAATTCAGTCTTTTTCAAGGGGCAGAGTGAACAAGGCTGCTGATATATATTGTTCAGACACAGATTGCTATTCACCATGATCTCGCTAGCTTTGTGTTCAAGGCTGAACATGTGAAGAGAAAGTAAACTCAGATGCATGGCTATGTAAAAATAGACAGATGAAGGCAAGAGCAATACATGGAATTTACCCCCAAGGCCCTCGGTGCATATTTTTTTATTATTTCCACGCTAACTGAAAAGGCTTTGACAGAAAGTAGGTCTGTAATGGATTAAGTTCACTCCTTTCAAAAGAATCAGGAATCAATATGAGAAAACATCTCTGATTTTACATGGTATATAAATCTAATAAGAGAGTAACAAATCATACAAGCAGGAGAAAATCTAAAGAACTGCTCTGTGAAGCAACAGTTTCATCAGTTTAGTTTTATACCTGCTAACAACAGAGAGGAGGTTTCATTTTAATTTGAAAAGCAGCTCAGTGGTTCATACTCAAAGGCAGATAAAGGAGTCCAGCATTCCCCTGCTCTCAGGGCTTGTCTATTGGGTAACAGCAGGTGAGCTCAGACTGAAGGTTGTGCTGCTCTTACTGTTCTGCCTGGCAGAACAAAATACTCCTTGTGAAGATTTTGAAATTGCCCTTGTGAGGAGCAGCACACCTGAGACACCAACATTTACATCCCTGAGCCTCAAAATATTCAGCCTAGATAATACTCCTGGTTTAATGTACCCATGACATTTGTGCCTACAGTAAATCAGAGGTGGGATACAAAGGAACCCCATCCACTATTTGTGCAGTGCCTCCAAGTGTAGCATATCCACAGTTGTCAAAACAGAACAGCCTTAGTGACTCTGGTGAGTTCCTGGAGTGAGTTTTTGTTCAGAGTGTTTTTTGAAGCAAGATAAAGTGATGTCTTCAAACTGAAAACATTTTGCCAAGAAAGAGTGGGTTTTGTGCAGGCATGGTTGGACACAGGGAGTGTGGGAGCAGAGTGGATGCTCTGGCTGCCACTTGCAGAACCTGGGTAGGTGGAGACTGATCCAGAGTGAAAAACACATGTTCAGAAATCTCCCCTCTCCTTGTCCTCTCCATCTTATCCTCCAGACTCATCTCTGTCTCCTGACACTGCAGTGTCAGGAGCCCTCTCCTTTCAGCTGACACAGCGAGCAGACAGTGCCATCATCTGGGGGTAATACCTTCCACATCATGTATACTATAATAGAGAGATGCATGTATCTGAAAGTTGACAAGGACAAGAAAATATATTTGAAAGCCATTCCTCTCTAAGGGAAACTTACAGGTTGATCACTCATTACTTTAGGATAAGAAAAAAAAATAAAAACATGTTTCTCATTAAAATAAATTCTTGAATACTATGGTATTAATAGAAAACTGTTCAAAATTCTTATTATCCTTCTGTCTTTCCTCACCCCAGAATAACTATATTTTATCTCTTGCAACAAGTTTTTACTGTCATACCTTTATACAGCTGAGAATACACACACCCAGGTCATATACTCACTTGGGTTGTCCTAGATGGATTTTTACCTGTTCCCAGGAGAACTCATCTGAAGCACAGTAAAAATGAAAGACATTGGCAGAACAGTTTTTGATGGTGTAAATTTCCCCCACATATTTCCTTTAACCATTAAAAGCAGATTTAGTTGCAATGAAGATGGACAACTCCTTTGCAACACAGAAATGAAAGAGCAACATTTGGGGTTGCAAGTTCAGCCATTGCAGAGCCATATTTACATGCATCATGACCTGCATTTCTTCCAGGCATGTACTTGTCAACTGATGCTTTTGAACTGTATTTCTTGTATCCAATGCTCCTGTCCCAGTGCACATGTCAGATTTTGTGTGTTTCATTTGTGGCAAGCAAATTTAAGTTCTTCTTTTAAGGCCAGAAAAAGATTATTCAACATTCAAGATGTCTAAAGGAAAGGGATATCCTGTATTTGTGACTTTTTGTGTGTTTCAAGTATCAATATTCAGATTCTGGTATTTTAAACACACCAGCTGAACATCTGTTGTTTTATTTAAAAATAATCTGAGTAGCCTTAAGGAAAGATATGTTTTCAAGTATTTCTCATACTTGCATATCCTGTATATTCATTGTTTACTTTTGTACTTGTAGCTTGGTATGTAAAAACATTGCTAAAATATGGGCAATGTTCAGGTCACCTTAAATATATTATGTATTATCACATTTGTGGATTAAAAATGTGTGATTACTGCCCTTTTTGTTTCCTTTTGATTTATTTATCCTACCACCTCTATTGTATCACAAGCACACGTCAGCAGCAAAAAGCAGGTGCCACAAGCCAAAATCTCACTCTTCCAAGGACCTTCTTGCAAGTTTTCCATTATATATTCAGCCCAGTTTAGCCTGATGTGATTTAAGGTAGATAGAAGACATATTCCTGACAGATTCCACAGCCCTGTCCTTAACATGGAGCTGCTGGAACCTACCAGAACATTTTAACATGAAACATTTATTCCCCTGTCCTTGTTCCCAGAAAAGGCAAACTGTTTTGGCTGAAAGAGCTCAGGATTTGCAAACAGCTCACATGGCAATTATACTGAAAGCAGTGAAATACTGGCACAAAGAGAAAACTGACAACTACCTTAAAATCAAAGTTTAAAGCAATCTCCTTAAGTGGTGCTTTGAGCCTTCCTGCTGGTAAAACATTTCTGTCAGGGTAATTTTATGAATCATATCATGGCAGGACACAATTTTCTTTGCTTCATCACTGCCAACTTTATTATATAAAGACAAGAATGCTAATGCTTAACAAACTCTCTTGGGAGTGACTACTTCTAACATGTTAATGAAATGGTGCCTGTGCCACAGAGCTGCACATCATACTGAACATGTGATCTGATTTGTGCTAGAGAAATATTCTCAGAGACTGGCACATAAATAGCTGGCCCTGAAGAGAACCAAGCAGTAAAGCAAAATTAAGTTTCACCACAGCAACAGAAATGCAAAAACCAAGTTTTAACTGGACAACTTAAGCAGGTCTATTTTTGTTTTTACATAAATCAATGCCAGAAAAAGACCACACACAGTCTTACCCACACAGAAAAAGATAATACAGCTTTTTATGCTGAAAAGCTACTGGTGGGACTCTACAAGAGAGAAACACTTTTCCAATATTTAGAAACCATCAATGTCATTTATGAGCTACTTGCAAGTACAGGAAAACCTCAAGATCCTGCCATCCATTACACAAATTTACTCTTTTGGGTCCTTACAGAATGAGGAGGATTTGGGAATATTTAGCAGAAAGTAATAAAATCCGAAAGATTTAGACTGTATCTAAGAAAACATCCTGCCTCAAGCTGCCATGTTGCACTTCCTCCAGTTTCCTACCTGTTTGTTTCAGTAAAAATACCTGAAAATACTTGGGGCAAGGTGGTAGAAGCTGGCCAAACAGCTGAAAGATGGATCCAATACAACCATTTTCCTGCTGACTCCCACATGCCCAGGACTCACAGGGCACACAGCAGTGGAACAGTGAGGCCTCCTGGTACTTACAGGTTTGGTCCAGTCCCTGCTAACCTGCCAGTTCAGCATGGTCAGCACAGACTGACTGGCCTCTGGGTGCCTCTTGAGCTCTCTGCACCTTCTCTCCCTTCCTGGAAAACAGGTTCATCTGTGATGTTTCACTGTTCAGATGCAAAGAGAAACAATTAAAATAGAAACTAGTTCTTAATATACAGAAACACTGCTACATGTGATGGAAAAGAACATTTAACAAGTATGAAACTTTTTTTTAATAAAACTGAATTTTATTAAACTGCAAGAAATGCAAATATGGTGATAGATTCAGATCAGTGTTTGTTGGGCAATCCAAAAATAATGACTGACACAGGTACAATTCCCTGCACACTCCTTTAAGTGATGATACCATAAAGCAATTAGAATCAGAATACTGACACCTTAACATACACTATTCATACAGTGAGCAAGGTTACAGAGAACATTACATTAACAACAGAAGGCATTGTTGTCTTTGCAGTTCTTTAAACACCAGGACATTGAACATCTCCTTGCTGAAATGGTTTAAATGCATAGGCCACAAACAGATATTTGTATCAGAGTTCCTATAATTACACAAGTCCAATTGCATAACACAAGTCTGATTTACCAGCAGGGCAATCATCTGCTGGAAATTATTCCACTATAAATCAGTTTTCATTTATATAAACTGTCTTGAAGTGCCAAGTAAACATTTAAGTATGCAGAACATTAAATATATTTACAGGTTCAGTGCACTTTAAATTCCTCAGTAAGAGGGTACTGAAACAACAATAAAAAAGGAACTTTGCTTCAATGATTATACTTGTGATAACACAAGTAGCTTGACTTAAAAGAAAAATTGCTATCAGCACATTAACATTCTTACAACAATTTCATGAACGTTTACCAAAACATCAAAGTAAAAGAATACTTTGTTTTCCTTTACAACCAGTGCTTATCAGGTGAGAATCAGTAATGCTGACATGTGAGAGGCTCCTTGTTACTATTAAACACACAAAGTACAGAACTCTACCACAGAATCCCTTTGTACCATGTCTGAACTGTGTGTACAATCTTGGATGCTTCAATAGAAAACATGACCAGCTATAAATAATACTAACCAGCACTATTTTTCATTCAGCATCTAAATAAATTCAGATTGCTGGATTTTCAAGATTGTCTCCTCTTCCTGAAGTAACCTCACAATCTGCTCAGACACATTTTCCACATTTGCTGCTGTGATTTAATCCCTCATGCCTTGCTGCAGTTCCCAGGCATGCACACAACACAGCCACATCCCTGCAAGTCAGATCTTTGATGAGTCATACCCAGGCTATAAATAATTAGAAGTAAAAATAAATGGAAGCTTTCCCCTTGTGAATTTTCATGCACAGGGATTTTGGCCAGATCAAATTTATAGGGTAGACTGGAAAGCAATGAACATGTTCACTAAACAAAAATCAAGGAGTCAACATGTCCACAGCCAAGTGCCCCCAGCTCAGTCATCTCAGAGCTGATCCACGTGGAACTTCAGCTTAGCCATGCACAAATCCTCAGTGACTGTCACAGACCCCTGTGGAAAGGGAATGAGACTGAAACCTGGGGCAGAAAGAACTGCAGACAGGAATAACCTGAAGGGCTTCAGCTAATCCCCCAGGAGGTGCTTCCAAACAATTTCACATGCCTGACTCCTACCAAAAACCTATTTAGATGTTATCCCTTCCATGGTAAACATCAAAGATCATGGGAAGTGTTTTCCTCCCTAGAATCTTTTAACTGTTTTAAAACCATGCATTTGCTGCTACATAAGTTATTTTATATAACCACCAATATGGGTCTTGTTGCCAGCAGTGCTTAAAAATAGCTTTAGAAAAATTATCAAAATAAAATTAAATAACTGATCAAGTCTGACCTCATAATGGAAATATGTTTTCTTCAAAATCATATTTAAGTAGTTGCCATGAAGAATAAGTGTTGGCATCTATAAAAGCTGTGTAATAAAAATAAATACTTTCAGTCATTTACAACAAAATTAATATACATTTCACTTACACAGGTAACAATACTTTAATGTACTGTACAGTCCTGAGCATGTTTTTGCAGGGGTAATTTAGGTCACCATTTTCCCCCCACAAGTCCACTTGGACGTTGCCAGCTGGAAGAAAACTTTTAATACTTGAAGAAGCAGTATCTTAGTTTAGCTTTGGTAATTATCTGTGCAACTGTATAAATCTTTGACTTGCTTTCACACACCAAATAGATTAAGGCAGGCACTATTGTTCTCAGGATTCCTCCATCACCTTCTGACACTGATAGAGCAAACCATCTGGAAGAGCAGCACAAGGGGACCTGAACCACAGGGCCAGCATCCCTGAGTGGGTACGGCAGTGCAGCAGGCAGGGCACAGATGGCAGGAGCTGGCAGGCCAGGATTCCCTCATTACCTGAGAGACCACAGGGAAAAATGCAGTAACAATTAGCAAGCAACAACTGCTATAGCAGACTTGACAGAAACTGCATCTGTCACACTCCATGTCTGCTGTTTTCCCCTCTCTTACCTCTGTGTTCCTCATGGAACACATCAGCACAAATCATGCCAAAAATCCCACCTTTGTCACACAGCTTCATTCCCTTTTTGTGCTACCCAAAACTCTTCACAGTGCAAGTTTTCTCCTTTGTAAAATCCACTCTTTGCTGAAGACTTGTACCTTTACATCACTTTCCCACAGACCCCTGAGTGAGGCAAACAAAGTCCATGGGACACCAGTCCCTTGTTCACCATGCTCCCAAACATTCCCTCCCTAAACCTGCAAGATCCTCTCTTCCATGTACTTGTTTTCCTGGGACAAATGATCCTGTGAGCACCCCCACAGTGTACTTTCACTTACCTATAACATCAACTCTGTGGAGTTTCAGCTTCTGTTGCAGTGTATCCAGGGCTGCTGAAAGGGAATCTTGGCAAGGTGACATTTTTATGTTCTGTTTCACATCATTGGAAAGAGACAACCACAGCTTCCCAAAGTCTTCTGTAGTCATTTCCATTGGCCTAAAAGGAAGTTCACCACATTTCTTAGCCAAACAATATTTATAAATCAGAATATCTTTGGTTTCAAAAAACCCTGTATATGGAAGCAACTGGACAATAGAGCACAAAATAAGTAAATATGTATTAGTCTAATCAAACCCCTCCTCTTTCCAGCTTAACATTTAAAAATGTTTCTATGCCTTGCTTTAGATTTCTAAATTTAAAAAAAATTAATTTTCAAATTTCACATTAAAAGAAAAGTCTGTTGGACAAAGGACACTTGTTTCTTCCTACTCCTAAAATAAATGCAGTGTTCAAAAATGAAAAGAATGAGCTTTCTTCTTCCTCTGAAAAGTTGTCAACCTTCTCATACAGTGTTCTGGTTTCTGCACACAAACCACTTGTTTCCTCTTGACATGTTTACATTATGCCATATTTTAAAGCATCATGTCCTTCTGTTCTCTTTTCTCTTAGTCTCTTCAAAAACAGTTACAGTCAATATTCTCCCTGCATTTGTACTTCTTGCTGGAACTTTACCCCTTTTTCACAAGTGTAAAATAACCCTTTATTATCTTTACCAACCATCTCAAATTTGAATTAGCTGCTCAAGGTGAAACCTTATATTTTCATAGTCAATACCCAAATCATCCTGCCCTTGTCTAACACTGAGCTGTATACAAGTGTTTTTAACAACTGCAGTTTATTCTATTTACCTGATGAAGTCCATCAATGATAAAGTTACTGAAAATTCAAGGCAAGTTTCCATCTCTGACTGGTAACTAACAGAGGCAGGAAGAATTGCCTGTGTACAAACTTTGTTCATCCTCACACATTTCTGGCAATGTTCCACACTTTGAGCTTCAATTACAGGAAACTGGGAGGTGGCACTCTCCAAAATCTGTAGAATGTCATAAAAGAAATAAAGAATGTAAGTCTTACTGTCAAGTTGTGCAAGTGATTCAGATACAGCTATAAAATCGTGTAAGTGCCTCTTATTTCTGTTGATTTTTCTTGGAGTATTTGACAAGTGAACAGAGCCACCATATGTCAGCCCTCATGAAGGATAAATCAATCACTAACACCTACAAACATTCTATGGGATACACAGCACCAATGAAATCGATCTCTGACAATTGGCTTCTCCCAGCCCTAAAGAACTGCACCAGGAACCTGAATTCTGCAGCTCAGTCCCAACAAATGAATATACAAGCAAGCAGCATCACATCAAGCTATACACTAAAGCAAGAAGCTGAGAAAACATCCCTAACAAAAAGGAGGATTTCTAGATTACTCAGCAGGCCCTGGCTCACCAAACAAACTGGTAACAGAAATTCTGTCCATGGTGGTGGTCTGGGAGGGAATTTAAGTGAATTACTAGAAAAATCTAGACAAGAGATGCTCACTCTCTGTCAATGCCAAGACAAGTTTGATTCAACTCAGAAATGGAAAGGGACTCCATAATCAATTAGCAGTGCCTTGATTAAGTAAATTCTAAAAGAAACAATCCACTTAATTCTTGTTATCAGGTTGCTGAGTTGTTTAATAATTCTGTGCTTCTTTTAAGCAAAATCTGGGGATAGATCAATCAATTGGCAATTCCTAAATATCTTTCCAAATATTTAAATGAAGTTTTATTTATGACTATAACATGCCTTTACCAATCATATTTAAATCCCAAATGTAGCCAATGTAAAAAATCTGCACTCTCAAAGATCTGCACTCTCAACTAAATGCATGAGAGTGAACCATGACTGATGTCTTTGAAAAAAGAATTGAAAGAAGCTTATACAAATTTGGTGTCAGGAAAGCATCATGTTTGCCTATCAGGTAAATACAAATGAATGCACAAGCACAGTAGCCACACTCAGACAAAAGAAAGCTACACAGTGAGGTGAACTCAAGTCATACCACTCCAAGCAGGGCCAGTGAGGTTTGCATTTGGTTTAGTCTTTGCATTCAGAATGGAAAAATCACATATATTCATTACACAGAGGCAAACAAAATCAAGGTGAACTGAAAAAGTGAGAGGCTAACTTTTATAGCCAGTGAGTTTAGTAAGTTTATAGTGAGGTCTCTTTCACCTCCTTTTAAAGCTATGTGTAACAGGTGTACCACAGGGTTTTAAGGAAATACTTTGGAAAAAGGCATGGCTACCACATTAAACCAAATATTGCATAGTTAAATGCAAGCAAAAAGCAAGAAGTTCCAAGTGAATTTAAAATATAATGGAAACAAAGTTTCTTACCTGAAAGTGTTCTGTTTCTTCAAACACTAAGTTCACAGCATGAAGTGCAGCAGTGCTTTTATTTGAAACAAAAACAATGAGCAACAGAGAGTCATCTGTCCACACCTTACATAAATGCAGAGCTAAGGCATCACTCTGACAAAGTCCCACTACTTCAGAGTGAGGAAGCTCTTCAAGTTCTTCTGGTAAGGAAGGGACCAATGGTGTTTCACTGGCACTCTCACATTGAGCACTTGAAGAAGGCTGAAAAATTTCAATATCGCTATCAGCAAACAAAGATGACTGTGACAGCCTGTTAGGTGAAACTCTGTCATCCAGCACAGATTTTCTGAGGGACTGAGGTGTTTCAAATGTTAAATTGTCTTCTACAATATCTGAAGAAGGGGAGGCTTTCCTTAACCTTGTGTGCATACTTCCCTCAGAATCCTCCACATTAATAGGTACTGTATCAAGTAAGGGACCAAAATCTGAAGCAGCACTGTTTTGGAAGACTGATGCCTCCTCACTCAACTGCTGAGTTTCAGTTATCTTTGATTTCCTTTTGAACTTCTGAGTAGCTGTGTCTGCTTTGCCCATCTGAAAAGGAAAGAGAAAAAAAAAATGGGTGGAAAAGTTCCTAGCAATCAGCTGTGTTACTGTTAATACCATGCAGTGAGGAGGTGAGGAAGGACCAAGGAATCAAAACAGATGACAAATACAAAGAGATTACAAACATTTTAATGGATCCAGGGGCTTGCTGTGTCTCTTACAGAGGACTAAATTAGCTTATAATGCATGAATGACTCAAGATTCTCTTACCTAACTAAAAGCTCTTATTAATAAAAGACTAAGCAAAGGCAGTATCTGGTTAACCAGTGCTAAGTGCCAAGATTTGAGCTGGCTAATACAATGCCAGTCTTAAAATATTACCTAATAGTGAATTCTTTTATGTTCCACATACTACCATACATAAATTTAAAATGGTCTTGACATAGGCTGTCAAAGTCTAGCCTTACATCCAAATGAATAGTGACAGCTCTACAAGGCTGGGTCAAGGAACAGTTGTTCAGGAAAACTAACACTAAAACTTGGAGCACAACATGTAAACAGAGGAAAGCTCCAGTTACCACATCAGATCTGCCTCAGAGGTTCATCAAGCTGTTTCAGGTTTCAATAAAATATCACACTGCAAAAGCCATTCTCAATACTCTTTCAATGACATGGGGGGTGGGGTTGTCTTATCTCTACTAATTTGATCTCCATTTGCATACAAGTATCTATAATTTTCAATAAGACCATATGTAAACTTTGAACTGTTAAATGTCAAAAGAATCACTCACCAGGCTGACACCAGCACTTGCTCCCAGCCCAATGAACAAAGTTGATGCTAACTGCTGCTTCTCTTTGTCTTCCTCAGACAGGCTGGCACCTTGCTCAGGCTGCAGTGCAGGAGGTTCCCCCACCTGCCCTGCTAATAAGCTGCCACAAGGCACTGGTTGTGGCTCGTTTCCTTTCCCTGTTTTGTTTTCTTTCTTTGGAAGGTAACCTTCTTTTCCCCACAGCTTGCGTACTCCCTCGAGTTTCAGAGTATTTGTCCTAAAAAGGCAAACAAAACAAAGCAGGATCAGCCACAGGAACATGTTCATAAAAACATGCCAACACTCAAACACCATTCACTGCTTTGGTGCTTTGATAGGTAAGAGTGAGCAGTAAAATATAAAGATTCTGGAAAGGTTTCCTGCATACCAGTTTAGCAGAGTATAAATGAAGTTATTAATTTGTATGAAACTATGGATATGGAATTAATGTGTAGTGCACTAAAAATAAAAGGAGCATCTTATACTGCAAACCTTAGCCTCACTTTTGTCTTTAGAAAAAAAAAAATCAGAAAAAATAATAAACAATGTAATCATCAGGCAATCCTAGCCCAACATTACTGTATTAACTATCACCTCAACTGCAGTCTGTGAAGAAAGTGGCAGAAGAGTCTGACCACAACAGCTGTTTTCCTACTTATTACACAGATGTCCCCAGCTAATTTTCTTCTTATGTGATAGAAGTTTCCAAGTTCAATTGCACCCTTTCTAATTCCATGCAATGAAGCAACAAAGACCCATGATAACAACAAGAACAGAAGCCTAAACGTGCTTCACTTCAAACACAAATTAACTCACTCTTTGTGCCCTGTCTCAGCACTATTTCCAGATATATCAGAGCCAAAAGATAAACCAGTGGGGGACTGTCTGCCAGTGACACCAGATGAGGACACACTTGAAGCAAAGGATAATCCATAAGGTTCAAAATTCAGTGCTGCAAGACAGACAATTTTAAAATTACAAGGAGGCATAAAAAAAAGTAAGAATTAAATCTATATTTCTGAAAATAGATATTCCTGTATTGCTGGACTTCTCAGGCTTTCACTTTAATAATCCCCACAAATTTCAAATCCTCTAGATCAGCAAGGATTACAGTAAGACTTTCTCACCTACAGATCAACAATCTATATACATCAGCTAGACAAAGGAGAAACTAAAATCTAAGTTGAACTTAGCTCTTGTCTACAGACAAGAGCTGTGTTGAGATACTATTATTTTAAGAAGATAAATTAACTGTACACTTTAATTGTTAATACTTCTCAGGTAATTTAGCAGTATTAAATAAATGCAGTGAACTGTCACCTTTTTCCTGAGAAAGTTTCTCCTCTTGTCTCTGGTGATGAGGCTTATATGGTGCTGCACCATGAGCGAGTCCCTCAGCCACAAACCCATCCAGAAAAGATAAGGAAGCATCTACCTACACAGAATTTAAAGGAATGAAAAGGCAATGAAAATATTTGCTCTATGTGAGCCAGATGTTACCAGAAGAATATGGTGTCTTATCAGCAAATCAGGACCTTCATGTCACATGTCCCTTATCTACCAGTTAAGATGATATATAGACAGAATCTTTTCCATCATTTACTGTGGAAATTTCATGGTCAAAATCAGTGGTTTTTAAATAGGAGGCAAACCCTTTGAATTCAAAAGCAGTACTGTATCACTAAAGCAGGCCTACCTCATCTTTGAAAAAAACAAAAGGCAACTAAAAATAAACCAGTGTATGAAATGATAATTTTGCTAAAAGCTACTCCAGCTTACTTAACTAAAACACCATGGTTCTTTATCTTTCAGTACAGAACACTATGATTCATCCCATATGCCTGAAGAAGTTTCTCAAAACTCACTTTAGGCAGACTTCCATCCAGTAAGAACTGCAAATACCATTCATTTTGGAAACACCTTTTCACCAAAATATTCATCCCCCTGGACCACAAAGAGGTTCATGAAAAAGAACCTGGAATGTGTCTTACCACCAGGTCACTGCAACTAGCATCAAATGGAAGCAAGCTTTTCATCAGTGCTTTGTCTTCACACAGATGCTTCAGTTCAAAGGCATATTGTCTCAGGCATGTATCCAGAGAGCTGCTGAGTTCTTGGATTATTTCATCCACTGTTTTTGAGCAGGAAGTGTGTGATGCTATCTTGGTGACTGCAGCCATTATCCATGCTTTAGTTTCAGAAGTAACAAAAGTCTTCTTCAGCAGGCCATGCAGCTTTGTTAAAATAACTTCTGGATCAACATCTGTAACAAGACTGAAATATTCTCCCAACACCTATTCACAAAGAACAGACAAAATATGCATTTAGAGCAGTGCTCTCAGTTTTGAAACTGGAATATAGTATTGAAATAACAACACAATAAATCCACCTCACATTCAAGAAACTATTATTTAAACATAGATTCTTTTATCCAAATTACTTCTTTACCATGTTGTGTTTCATATGTCAAAGGGTTGAAGTGTTCACCTCAACAGGCTCCAACATTTGGCTTTTTAAAAATCAAATAACTGTCTTGATAAGAAAGCTAAATATAACTAGGCCCTGACAAACCACCAGCTCCTCAAACTGCAGCCTCTCCCTTGGTGGGAGCTGAAGCTTCCCCAGTATCAGACAACACCAGCACAGCACCTGGCCAGTCATTTGCAGGGCTACAAGAGCATTTCACAACCACATCTGGCTAATTTAGATGAAGACAGAAAGGCTCTCAGTATGCAGCCAGATTCAGGTGGCTGCCAAGCCATCCCTGCATAAAAGGGAGCAAGTCAGCTTTGCCACAAACCACAAGTTAACAGTCCTCAGTCACCAAAGAGGTCGCTAAAATAGATTTCGGCATGTTAGCTCGACTTCAAGTACAAGTGACTGAAAATTAAAGTTTAATAAATATTTATTAAAAACATTATCACCTTTGACAGCTTCCTCAAATCTGTGTATGGAATCCTGACCTGTGTCTACCTTACCCAGCTCATAACTTGAAGGAATTTCTGTGGATACAATTTATCTTCCTCCTCAAGTAGTGCCAAATAGGACTGTACCGCATACATTCGTAGCTGATGATCTTCTTTTTCATCATCAAATCCTAGAAAACAGCACCATTTCTGTGAAACACAAATAACATATCCTACCAAATATTTCATAGTACATTTTAAGAAAAGAAAAAAAACCCCAGATTAATAAGGAACATGTCTAATTCTTCAGAGCATGTGGGGAGTTACCTTCAGCCAACAGCCTCAGGAAGTTGTTTGGGATATCAGAATGCACAACATCACCTCCAACTGAGAACACAGCATTCATTGTCTGGATGAACCACTCATTGTTAGGGGCATATGTGTCCAGATGTTAAGGAATGAAATGCTAAGGCATAACTTTTTCCTTCTTTTTTAGTCTATTTCCATAGGAATGGCCATTGTGATCTCCCCAGTAAGCTGGGGATCAGATGGGCAAATATCAGCTCCATCTAACCAAAGAGGAAATATTCCTGGATCTTTTAGGAAGTGTTTCCTGGAAATCTCATGAAAACTGGTGATCAGTTAGAAAATACTGAAATTACTTTGTTGAAAAAGTTGAGTTTATGCAGGCCTCACACATTAAGGACAATATGTTCACATTTGTCCTACTCTATTTTAAGCTCACACTTCTCCTGTGCTAGGCTTCCACATAATCTTTTGTTTACCCAGCATCACTTGATCAATGATAAGAAAAGTTTTTTTCTTCAGCAGTGCTTTGCTGTTGATTTACAAACTTTACAAAAACATTTTGAAGCACTCCACATAAATCCTCACTGTTTTTTTTTAATATATTTAACTTTTGATCAGCCTTTGTTAACTTTGAAAGTTGGCTTTTGCCTTCTCTCAGATAAGTCCTGAAAATACAGTTAATGAGTGGAAATTTTTAACAGCACAGAAATTTCAGTTATTGCATTTGTTTTTGCATACAGCAGGACAACAGAGGTGTTTTTAGTACAGTATCCATGCCAAGCACTGCACAAACAGGATGATAAGGCAGCTCTCTGTTATCAAAAGCTTACAACTCAAGATATCAGACAAAATCACACACAGAAATCAGGCAGTGGCAGGTCTAACAGTAATGCACATCATAAACAAAATCCCTAATCATTACTTTCATCTTTTATGGCATTTTTTAAAAATCTTTTCTTTATTTCTATCTAAGTGTGCTGTTCTTAAAATCCATACACCAATGAAGAGCTCTATCAGGGAAGATCAGTCCCACAATTACAGAACAGCACTTCAAGTAGCACTGAGACATCTCTCTCTATGCAATGGTATAAAGCTTCAAAGTTGGAATTTAAAACACAAGGTTTTAATGCTGAACTCCAAAGCCAAAATTTGTGCGCAATTAGCTTCTCTCAGTGAAACACAAGAAACACTGTAGTCATTATTGTATGTGCTTTCTTTTACATTTGAAAGGATGGGAAGCATGGCTCTAACACTTCCTACTTCACAAGATCAGGAAAGATGCTTGATAGGTATCACTGCTACAGGTGCCTGAGCTCTGACTTCAAAGTTTCAGAAAAAGAAAAGGATATTTCTCAGCTAGTTCAGAAAAATAAAAGGATATTTCTCAGCTAGTTCTGCTATTTTGCCAACTAAGCTGATGATGGCATATTCTTCTTGGCTTTCTTTTAAGTAGTCAAGCATTTTCTGGACTATGACAATTACATTCTGCCCATTTGTAATCCTGTAGAGAAGCTCTAAGGTCTGAAAGAGAAAGCACAAAAAAATTAATTGGTTCTGATGACTCAAAAAAAGCAGCAGCAAAACAGCAGCTTTAGTACACCAAATTGAGCAACTATTCTTAAATTAAATACACTGCTTCTCTACACAGTTTGTCACATTAACTGTGTTTTTAACTGTTCTCTCACAATTATGGAAACATAAGATTTTTACACAACTCATTTTACAAAACTTATCCCCCACCTTACAAGCACCTAAATTTTTGACATTTAGAAATCCACTGACCTCCCTCTTAATAATGGGATCTGGATGGTCCAGACATTCAATTATTGTCATCTGGTGCTGAAGTGCCAGGTTTGGATCCTGCTGGATAACATAGGTCAGAGCCTTTAAACCTGGAATGGAAGAGATTGCAAGTGATGTAAGGCAATGCTACCACTAAGGCCAAATTAAAGACACCATAATGAAATCAGGCATCCTTACCTAAGTATTTCAAATTAATTTTGGGTGACAAAACAAATTTTCCAATGCACTTGGCAGCCTTTTCAAGTAATTCTGATTTGGGATGAATGGTATAAATTGTTTGGACACATTCAAACAAGATGGCTGCAGGAGGAGAAGACACATAATTAATGTGTATTGAATACTTCTACAATCCAAAATTTTTAACAAACAAACGAGCTCAGTGTTCCTCAAGGACTGGCAGTGCTATCCCACTCCCACTGAATCTAACCAGAGAGTGCCATCTGACATAAGGTAAAAGTCTATCTCCTTTGTACATACATGTTTTAATTAGCCCCTGCAAACAACTTTCTGTCCTTAAAGTTCTTCCAACCTTGAAGTCTCCTACAGCTGCTCAAGGCACTGGACTGGGACAGTCTTCAGAAAGCCAACAAACAACTATAAAGGATTTGAGACAAATTATTTTTGGTAACTCATATAATTTCTTAGCGACTACAGCCAAAATCATCCCAAGAACATTCTTGAAAAAAAGAACCAATGAAAAATTAAAACAGAAACAAAACCAGAAAAAAACCCAACAGCTTTGTACAGTTGTTTGAGAAAAATCTAGAAGTAAACTAACAACACACAAAAAGTAATTACTCCTTTATGGCAACAATTTGGGCAAAGATTCAGACCAAGTTAGTCTCCCAAGTTAATCAGGGCTTACAATCATGATGTTGTTCTTGTAAATCAGTGACTAACTGAACTGTCCAATAGATAGCCCCTCTCTTCCTTAGCCATTACAGACTAAATCTAAAGACTAGCACACAACAAAACTGTCTGTAAGAAACATGCCATAACCAATGACTCTTTATCAGAAAGAGCAATCACTCAGAATTACATTTTTCTTTTGTCTGGGATTATCAACTACAGTTTTATAAAATGCTTGCCAAAGGTGAACAAAAACTACTTCTATGTCCTTGTACAAATCATGATGAACTGCCCACTTTGTCCTCTTAAGTGCTCAAAACAAATTTAATGTTTATCTCCTGGCATGTGCAAATAGCCTGTATTAAAAGTCAACACACCTCCTAATAACTTGTATGTTCTTACCTAAAAGAACAGAAGCAATCAGCTGAATACTCTAAACATCTGACAGATGCTTCCTCATTTATTATTTACTAAAAGACAATACTTCCCCAAAGCTGCCCTTTTTATGGAAGTGAGGCTTACACAATGCTTTACAGCATATGTATGATGTAGGTGTTAGACATCTACAGCTTTGAGCCGTGTTCCTTTTCTGTTTCACCCCTCACTATTGTTTTAATAAAGTGTCAATTTTCTTTCCATTGCATTAGCACAGGGACTTGGGCACATCTACAGGGCTTTATTTAACAACAAAAAAATTGGGGTGGTAGGTTTTCTTAGTAGTGAAACAGCTTTTAAAGTAGGGTTCTAGATCATCAAAACTGGGATTTTGGGGAGGCATTCAGACCTGGGGAGAAGACAAAGAAAAAAGACAAATAAATTGCTCAACTTTTTAGCAGGAAAAAAGTTAACAGTGCAACTATTCCTTTTGCTTTGTAGTAGCAACAAAACCAGCTTTCTCTACTGAGAAGACAAAGAACTTCTACCAAAATGAACCTTCTGCTAGGTTTTAGGAATTTTCAATTGAGACATGTGCCAAAGTCACCCTTCCACAGGCAGCACTGTCACTGAACTCTGGAGGTGTAATGTTTATTAACTGTGCCCAGAGGGGAAACCCTACACAGCTGCAAGGAACTGACACTGTCTCTGCACACTATTGCTTTTCTCAGGGCAGTGAAGAGAAATCAAAGCATTTCTACCACAGAGATGTATCAGCAGGATTTTCTTTTATTGCTTTTTTCAACTTAAGCAATGTCCAATAAAAGCTTTCATGAAGCAGATGACTTTGTGTATTTAAGGACAGGGTCAATGCAAACACAGGATAAAGGCTTTTGAGCCAAAAAGAGTTCCCTGTTTATAGATGTGTTTTAATTCAATGATAAAAAATTAATGCTGTACAGCAATGCATCACTTGTGCTACTATTTACTAGTTGGACACTTGAGAATACAATTAATGTTAAGACTATAATTAGATTTTTCAAAAGTACTGTGTAAGTATTTTAGCATAATCAATTACTCATTTTCTATCTTTTCAAATATTGATAATTACATAAAATAACCTTACCCACCATATGTAATATTATGATTAATCTCTGCTCTTCTTAAAGATTCATCTAGAACATCATACATCAATTCACTTGTCCTATTTAAGAAAATATTTACAATTAATTGCACCACTAATAAGCAGGTAGTCTTATTTTGCCAAACAGTTCAGAGCTATTATTGAAACCTGTAACACATTATTCATATCCACAAATTTGCTATAACACAGAAGAGCTCTACAACATGATCCTAAATGGCATTTAACAGGATGCTTGAAGCTTTCAAAGGAAACATTTACCATATTTTAAGAAGAAAAACACTTCCCTTGCTGCTTGCATAAATAAACAGGTCAATAGGAAAAGGATCATGGACAACCAGGTCCTAACAAAATGGCAGCACTCTTTTAAAATAGCTTTACTCCAGCTCTTCACTGTTATTTGGAAACATTGTAACAAGTCCCAGTAAAATTACATTTTAATCATATTGCACAACAATCAATTGTTTATACAATCCAGAAGCTAAGAAACTACTTTTGCAGAAATTAATTATTGGTTAAAGACAAATGTGCAAGAATTTCGACACTGAAAGCCTCTTACAGTCTATGAGGTGCAGGCTGTTACTGTACTTCAAATTATTACTTACAGAGAAAAATCTAGTTACCTTGGATCATCTTTTCCCAACAGCCCCAAAATTCTTAAAAGCTGAATTTGTAACCATGGTGCTGGCACACTGTGATAGTTGAAGTCAGCAGAGAGCTTTCCTCCCACCACCTGCTTCAGGATGGTTACAAAACTCCCAGTCAAGTCCTTGTATCCAGATGAGTTTTCCTACATAATGAAAATAAAATTCAACTCAAATATTTCAATACAACAATTCAAAAATAAAAACAACCCACAACTTGAGTAAGATCAAAATACCTACATTGATGGCATCATTTCTTGAAATCAGACTTCTGCTCTCAACCCTCAGCACCCATATGCTCTTCCCTTTAAGCCTATGCTCTTTTCTCACACATTTGCAAAGGGAGCAGGTGTAACACATTTACAAGGAAATTTCCCTTTAACCCACTGTAGGACTTAGATCCACTGGCTAAGGACCCAGCAATGCTGAGCATTCAGACCCTGAAGAAGTGGATTTGCCCAGTTAAATGGAGGATTGGCAGAAACAAAAGTAACACTTGACTATATAAATTAACTTTTCTAACTACTACAAGTGAGTTTTTTTCTGCAAAACCTTTGTAGAGCACACTGTGTATTTAAAATAAAAACCACAAAAATACCTCCCAAATTCAATTGTGCTTCTAATTCTTTGCCTACCTTAATCATTTGCAGATAAATATGCAAAGAAGCAGCCATGACTCCAGCATCCCTGTCACACAAAGCCTTCCTGAACTTATCGTGGATGTGCTGAACTTGATTAGGAGCAATGAGATAGAATTTGTATAAAGCTTGAACAGCTTTTCTTCGGATAATTTCCCTGAAATGAGATTTACACTTAACAAAACAAGTGTACTTGAAGTACTTGACTATACAAAAAAAACTTGCCAGACCCCAGATCATGATTTGTAAAGAAAAGAACCCGTGTTTTACATGTTGGTAAAATGACTTTGCAAATGCCACCTAAGCAAGGAAGTGACAAAGCCAGCTTTAAAGCCTAGTAGGGATGGATGTCAGATTGGTGATTTAAAACAATGTGCACCAAATAAACAATGAAATAGGCCATGACTCAAATCTGTTGTGGTCCAAAAAATACATACAGCTCCAAAAAATACACATCTAGAAATTACTCAATTAATTCATTCTGTAATTCCCTTTTCAATCAATAATTACAGCATTTTCCTCTCTTTGGGAAAACTATCCCTTCTATGGGAAAACTTTGCTGAAAACTGTCCCTTCTATGGGATATAGTAAACTACAATTCAAACAAATCAAGGGTATCCACAGATATACCTTTATCAGTTTCTCTAAAGAGCTTTATGAAAAAAGTGTCAGTGAAGTTCAAGGATCTGGATCTGTTTCCCCACCTACTCAACAAACATTTCTTCATGCATATTGGTTAAAAGGACTCCAGCAAATAAATTCAATTACATTCACCTATCCACACTGGCTATGAAAAAATTTGCTATCTATTCAATACTCAGTCAAGCTGTAAATAAACGAGACAAGAATCCAAGAAAAAACACAAGGAGAGGATTAATTTCTAAAGGTGATGACTAGAAAAGACCAACTGAGAGAAGAAACACTAGTTTATACTAAAACTACCTACAAAATTAAGTTATTCAGCTGTACAAGGCCATTTGAAATTCTGTAATGAATACCTACTTAGAATGCTGAAGCTTGTCTTCTATTAGGGGCAGAACAGCTGGAATCATCTCCCGTGGAAAGATCTGGCTGACAACAGTTAATGCCATGCACACCTCTACCAGGTTAGTGCTCTGCAAGTCCTGTGACATAAAACACAGTAAATTTTTCTTTAGACTTTTAAATTCTGCACAGATATCCCCCAAATCTTTCACAAGCAGGCTGGACCTACCCCCCTAGAGAGGCCACCCACAGCCAGCATCCTGCTCAGGTTTGAGAGGAGCCAGCGCTCACTGAGCTCACCAGGCTCTTCTCCTCCACAGGAATGGGAACAGGCAGCTCCTCACACTCCCCTTACAGAACCACATTTTTATTTTAAACATGTGCAACATTAACACACAGAGCTACAATCAATAATAATCTCTCTACTACTTTTGATTTAGCCAAAAGAATTTTAAAAAATGAGCAAGCTCAATAATACTGCCAATTACCTATCTGTACATTACAATATTACCTACTTCCTAAGAAGCAGATGCAAATTACAAGTAACATTCTGCAAAACTAACAATCTCACTCTGTCCTACAGAGTGAGATTGTTAGTTTTGCAGAATATGTATATATATATAATCAAATATATATACAATCAAATATAGTAGGTATGGTTCACTGTAACCATAAACCAAAAAAACCCCAATGGATGAACTTATGAAGACTACAATTACTTTTCAAAACAAATTAAATGTGTGAGATTTCTAGCTGATATAACTTGCTTGGTTCATCTCTCCCAGATAAGTTTCAGTCCTTATTTGGTTTAATTCTTAGTGAGTTTCAAGCCATATTTTTCAATATTATGAAAAAGTTTTCAATCACAGCAACAAAACAACCATCACTTTCAATCTGTAATTTCTGGGACTTTGGCCTACTGCAGTAAAAAAGTAAACATTACACAGAAAGAGTTATAATAAGTCATAATTGCTCCATGTAAGAGACATCAGTAATAGATTTTCAGTGGTACTCCAAAATGTATTTCCATTTTCTGTCAAAGTCATCAGATGAGCTCAGAGAAGGCAACAGACACTTGCCATCAGCTAAAAGCCAAAGCTAACATTGCAATGTGTGTGCATGGCTCCTCCTGGAGTTGAGAATGTATATAACTGGTACATTTATAAAGTAAAGTTTATGGCATATCTCCTCTGAAAGAACTTTTAAAAGATGGCTTCAAGAGCAAGAACATCAAGATCAAATTAAGAAGGCAGGGAAAGCCATTTCAGCCTGTCTTTGCTAATCAAAGTAATTAGATGTTGTGTGACAAAATGGGAAGAATTGGTCCAAGTTTTTCACCCCACAGCCCCCCCCACCAAGCTGCAGCCAAAGTTTGTTACTTCCACACTGGCTCATCTCCTGTCTCAGGGAAACAGCCTCTCCTGTGCCTCTAAGATTTTCTTTCTTCTTTTTTTTACAGAAGCACTATACCTTCACAACTGTGTTCACAAGCAGAAGCAGCAGTTCATGATTTTCATGTAGAAATAGAGAAACTGCCAAGTAACCTGTAAAAGAAAGCAGACTTCACTACTATTTTCAAGCAATAAACAACTTTATGACAGAAACTTTAAGATTGTCTGTAACACAAGAAGAGTTAACTCAAACAGTTACAAAAACACAACAAAAAAACCCTGCTAAAGAACAGTCAAGAGCACCAGTCTATTATAAATCACTTCCTGGAAAACTAATGTCTTCTCTGTACAGGGAAAAGTCTATTACTTTTAGACTACACAACACAAGTGTACTTCCCTATAGCTGTTCTGTGTTCTTTCCAAATAATAAAATTACTCTTCAAAGGAATTTTATATTCAACTTGGAATATACAAAAGTCAATCCAGCATCCTATGCCAAGAACTCCTATGTTATTTTCTAACAATGAGGAAACCATTCCAGAACCCAGGAAAAGAAATGTGCCAGCAACTTTTTTTTCTCCAAGTTTATAGCCATGCTGGCAGGAAAGGAAATCAATCCCATGACATTTCAAAGAAATCTGAAACAGCCTTCAAGATTTCTTTGGGAACTTCTGCCTCTATGCTGTAAGGGCCTCCCTATTTGCCTCATTCCCTACAACTCTTTCTAAAGTAAGGAAAAAAATCCTACCAGCACCAAAACAGAAAATATCTGGAAAAGAAACCAGATCCTGACAGAAATTCATTTTCAGCTTGATGTGTTTAACAAATATTCTCTTAAATTATTTGTTTACTGGTGTCGCAGTTCAAAGCAATGAAAGAACTGATGATCCAAAATAAATTCATTTCCCTGCCTTCTGTGCTGCAAGCACACACAGAGCACCTCACAAGCCAAGGATTTAGATAATTCCAAAAGGTAACAGACCACGAAACAAGACCAAGAAAATAGAGGAACATTTTAAGTAGGTTGTATTTGACATGAATTATAAATCCTGAAAAACTTTAAAACTGGGAGAACAGTAAAACTTTGAGAACATTATAAAGGCTACAGCTCCATGCACATACCAACTCTCTTCTCCAGAAGATTCCCTTGCTGGGCAAGTTTGATTGCGTGGATGTATCCAAAGGAAGACTCGTAGCCCAGCATTTCACAATAGATGAGTCTCACCATGCATTCTTTCATCAGTCTCTGAAATACCAGAAAAAACTTACTGAAAATTTTAAGTCCAACATGTTTTATGCTCTTCCTCACTGCTCTACTGAAACAGAGAACTTTATCTCATAGAAAGACGTGAATTCAAGCCTTTTCTAAAATCTCAGTATTCGCAATTTTTTCTTTGCCATGAACTTCTGCAAAGCACTGTTAAATTTCTGCTAAAAAGGCAGAAGTCCTCCTATTCTACCCGTAAAAAGGTTCTTATTTTGATTAGTATGCAAGTAATCAACAGCAGATTAATTATGCCTACATAAAAAATATTAATTATGTGAAGCACTATGATGATCACACTTTACTCCTCAATTACTACCCGGACTTGGGATGGTTTCTCACTATGTGCAAGATAAAATTTCATTTTTCCCTTCAAAAATCCTCACTCATGGGACTGACATATGTATTAAATAATTCAAACCAGAATACATCATCTCCTGAAACTCAGTCATGACAATATTGCATGCAACAAAGCACAGCTTCTTAAAAAGCACAAACTAATTGTAAGAGCAATGTCAGCCTGCAAAGAGCATTATTTGATGGAAGCAGCTCATCACCTAGCTTTGCTGTCTGCATTACTTCAGAAACTACAGAATGACAGTAGGGTCATATTGTTACAGTTTATTCACATCCATCAGAATCGGTGTTCTCACTGTTTTAACCGTGCTGCAAAACCATATGTATTGGTACTTTTTAATGCTGACGATTAAATATCTATAATGCAGATACCCTGCACATCCACCTGTGATAGAGTGAGAACACTCTGTCCTTCACCTTTGGTGTGCTGTTCCACAGCCTGCAGCCACTAACAGAACTTACAAGTGTTGTGTTGGGGGCTGAAACTGTTGCTTTCAAACTGGTTAGTTCCTGCTGGATTAATTTTTCTTCTTCCTAGAAAAATTAAACTTGTTTTAACCTCGCATAGATTTCACAGGCAAAACGTGAAAGAAGAACCAGAGGAGACACGGTCACTCAGCGCTGCCCCACACTCAGCGTGTCCCTCTCCGGGGCCGTGCTCGCCCGGCCCGTGCCCAGAGCAGCAGAACGCGGCCACCCACACACACGGGGATTTATCGGGGCCTTTAACGTGGCCGAGGGGAGACGCCGCGCCCGGGGCCCCCAGCCCAGCCCCGCGCCGGCTCCCCCGGGGCGGGAAGGGAGAGGAGCCCGGCCCCGCAGCCCGTACGTGCTTGGAGGTGAGTGCCGTGATGCTCCGGATGAGGCTGCCGAGCCGGGAGGAGGCCGATACCCTGCCGGGGCCGCCGGCACCGCCCGGGCCAGCACCCGGGTCGTGCTGCCCCAGCAGCCCGGGCAGGGCGCTCAGCGTCCGCTCCACCACGTCGCTCATGCCGGACCCGCCACCCCCGGAAGAGCCGGGCCCGGGCGGCCCCTTCCGGGGCGGGGCGGGGCGGGAGGCGGGGCCGGCGGGAGGGGCGGCGGGGCCGGAGCCGCCCCCGGGCCCCGCCCGCCGCGCGGCTGGGCCGGGAGGTGGAGCTGGAGCCCCGCGATGGGAGCGGGGCGGCCCCGGCGGGTGCGGAGCCTTCGCCAGCGGCGCTGCCCTGAGGGAGGAGGGCGGCCCGAGCGCCGGTCTGCCCGCGGGGCTCCCGGTGTCAGCAGCACGGAACAGACACTTCAGCCGGGTGCCAATGAGCCGTGGGTGGTAGCTTCTCACAGAACCGGTTCGGTTCTGACCCCAGTTTATCACAGGATCGGTTCGGTTCTGACCCCAGTTTATCGCAGAACCGGTTCGGTTCTGACCCCAGTTTATCACAGAACCGGTTCGGTGATAGAGACCACTGAGTCCACCAAACACCACCATCAACTAGACCATGGCACCGAGTGCTACACCTAATTCTCCTTAAACCCTTCCAGGGACGGTGACTTCACCACCTCCCTGGTCAGCCCATTCCAATATCTAATCAGCCTTTCTGCGAAGAAATTCTTCCAAATGTCCAATCTAAACCTCCCAGTTATGAAAAATATTATTCTTAAAGAGTGGGTGGGAGCATCAGGAGGTCCATCAAGGCTGAGAGGCTTCAGAAGGGCTGATCTGAGGTGATCCCCATAGCCCTGGTAGCATTTTGTCCTCTTGGGAAGGTTTTCACTAGGAAGTGAATTTCAGTTCAAAGGTGGTTTTTGGTTTTGGAGGTACTTTTTCTGGAAAGGGTGGGGAAGAAACTGAAACAATCCCTTCCAAGCTATGTGTTTCCAATGAAAAGGTATCCCTCTGTCTCCTACATACATCTGGACAGAAAATCATGCTGAATTTCAAAGCTATAAATTGATTTATTATCAGAAAAAGATAAAAGCTCAACAGGAACAAACTGGGATCACTATTTTTAAAAGTATTAAAAGTGGGCATTTCCTTGAAACTAAGATGAAAGATATGGACTGGTAGTTTTTAAAGTTCACTTTACAAAATGATTTGGTTAAGACATCACATTACATTGTAGAAGCATGAAAAACTTGTAAGCTTTGCAGACCAAAAATGTACATTTAATAAGCATAGGAAAAGCTGCTGGTAAAGTTGATGGAACTTGAATAAATGCTCAAAACACACTAGCTTTGGCTTTTTTTATTATTATTATTATTATTATTTTTCATGGTTCTAGAGTCTTAAATCCTTCTCTTCGCCTTAGGTGGTGTATAAATAAGTGCTGTGTGTAAAATGATTCATAGAGCACAAGCCCTCAGGCGTTTGCAGGGTTAATTGTTGATGATTGCGTTGAAATCATGAGGACTATTCATAGTGCACACATATGTGCAAAATACATGACTTATAGTCAGATGATTATAGATACACCTAATGCCTTGCACAGAGATCACCAGTAACTCTTCCAACACTTTTTTTTTCCTTTTAAGCACTGTGTTATTTAGTATATCATTTGTATTATATGAGATAGAGAAAGCAAATCCACAGAAGTAAGGGATGTCTACCATCTAGGCATAAACTTGGCAAGGTGGCTTGTTGTGCCTTTTTCCTGCTTTCATCTGCCTTCTTTTTTCATCAGCTAGAGGGAAAACTTTGAAGTGTGGTTATAAAACAACTGCAGATGTAGCACTGAAAGGCTGCATTCCAGTTATTTCTCTACACTTCGTATCAACTGCTCTCACCATACCAAGAAACAAACTAATTGCCATTCCTCTGAGTTCTCCTTGGCATCTGATAGGCAAGTGGTATTCTTTCTGGCTCATTTCACATAGCTGGAAATAAAGAGTTCCAGAATAGAAAATGGGTTGATTGTGTATGAGCCAAAATAGAACCCAAAATAGAAGAGCTTGTGCTCTTCATCACTTTGTCTCTGCACTGGCAGAGGAGTGTGTAGTAGTAGATGATGCAAATGATGCCAAATGAAACAGGTGTAATGAGAAACAAATACAGCACTCTTACCCAGTCATTTTTCTGTGAGGATTAAACCTACTTTGTCATAATTAGCAGAGATTATGTATTATCTGTCACATGTCACACAGGCTCACCAGGGCACCACCAAGGAGCAGGGGGACCAGTGTGCCAAAGCAGAGGGGGCAGTGCCAGTGTGCTCTGTGCCCACAGCTGCAGCACGTGGCTGGCAGTGCCCGTGAACAGGGAAAGGATTTGTGTCTGAAGCTTTAGGGATGGCAGGTTTTGAATTCTCTTCTCTCCCCACCATCAGTCCCAGCCCTGCCCTGTCCTCATCATCCCTTGTTAGAGAGGCTTGCCAAAGCAGGAGACACTTCAGCACCAAGGAAATAAACCGTATGGATCTGGGAAATAATACAGAAATGATTTCACAGAAATAGAAACAATTATCACATAAACAGAAGGGTATCCTGCAAAACAAACACATTTGAACACAATTAGATGTATCATTATACCCAAAAAGCCATATGTGGATATATCACATAAACAGCCATGGTTTTGACCTTCTTCATGCTGCTGTCTCTAATTAGAACTCCTTTTCCTGACTGCTTGACAGACACCTTCCTTTCAGCAAGTTTAAAATACTGCTTTTGAATTGTTCAGTACTTTTGACTGAATGAGAAATGTGTAGAGTCTTAGCAATGGATGCACGTTAACAATGCCTTGTGAAAAATGTTTGAGTGGAAAGAAGTAAACATCAGGAAGGGTACCTGGAGACAAAGTCCATGTTTTTGTTACATTGAAAACATTACACAGGCAATGAACTGTTGAATTAATTCCAGACTGGGATGGAATATAAAACCACATTGAAGTAAGAATTGATCTTTTAATTTGTCTTTATCAGCACTATTCTGTAGCTTTGAGGTTCCTGTTGCTGTACATGCCCATCTGCTGAAGATGGCAGGGGAGGAGGTTACTCTATGCTTCCTTGTGGAAGCTGCTTGTCTTCTGTGCTTCTAAAATGAGGGAAGGATCTGTTTATTATAAAAGTTTTCCTTGTAGGTCACCAAGCGATGTGTAAATAAGGATGTTTTCTTCTTACATGCAACTATGCTTAAAAGATTTTTATCCAAAATATCCTGTAATTCCTAACTCTGGCTCAGCTCCAAGAATTACCATGCCTGGTAAAAAGTGAGGATTCTGGGGCTATCAGTACATTTCTGGAATTTATTTTCATTGCTCTGGATGTGGAAGACTGATTTATAGAAGTGAATCTGATGCAAACTAGAGCATCATTTTATCTAAATTATATGCAAAGCCTTGACTGTAATGTACAGTGGCTGCTAAGGGAAAAAAATTGCAATTCTTTTTAGTGCTTGTGGTTAAATTAATGATCGTTCTTTTTTGTGTGTTCTTCACAGTTGATGCTATAGTACTGTGTATATATTCATTGATAAAGGAATGAACAGTTCGGCTGTGTTCCTGCTTTTCACTTGTGAAACCACTGGTCCTTTTCATGTCTTCAGATAGTTTTTAGCCATTTTTAGAAGTCAGCAAGAACTGAGATTTATAATGTTTAAGTATTTTCGTCTGCTCCCTGAGTGTGTGCATTTGTGACTACAGAATGATGAGCTCTTTTCTGAAGAAAGAACACTGTGATTTATTTTGGAAGCAGCTTCTGTAGTTCTGAAAAGCGCTACCGCTGCAATCCTTTGTTCTGCCGCGAACTGCTGAAAATGTCTTCCTCCGATCCCTGGGGATTTGTTGGTGTTCTGCGCCAACAAGGGCTAAATTTTAATATTAAAAACATTCAGAAATAGCTTACATGGTTATTGTCATTTGTGCTTCTGCTTTTTTAAATCCTAAATTTTAAAGAGCAGGATGTGCTATAATTAAACTTTCCACGTCCCCTCTTTGTCGTAAGAATCACGGCCGACTGTGCCTTTGCTGTGGAGAGGCTTTGAGCAGATGACAGGCAGTGATTCACAAGTCGACTGTGCGGGACCGGCTTTCCGCTCGCTGCCAGCCCGGCTGTGAGCGCAGCCTCCCGGGCCCGGAGGGTGCCGCCCGGGGCCGGTGGGTGCCGCCAGGGCCCCGTGGGTGCCGCCTGGGGCCGGTGGGTGCCGCCTGGGCCCCGTGGGTGCCGCCCGGGGCCGGTGGGTGCCGCCAGGCCCGCTCCTGAGCCGCCGCTGCCGCTGCCGGGCCGCGAAGCGAGGGCCCCGCGCATGCTCCGGGCCCGGCCCGCCCCCCGCTCCTCCCCGTGCCCGGGGCCGCCGCCGGGGCCGGGCTCGACCATTTCTGCGGGCGCGGGTTCGAGGGGCCGAGCCCCGGGCAGCGGCTTCCCCGAGCTTCAGCACCGCGGGCCGGACAGCGCCCGCCGGGCCGGGCGGCTCCCGCGGGCGGCTCCCGGTGCGAGGCAGGCCCCGGCCGCACCATGTTCCCCGGGCTGGCGGTCGCGCTGCAGGTGCTGGCGCTGCTGGCGAGCCGCGGGCACGGCTTCCCCAGACCCGCGGGCACAGGTAAGCGCCCGCCCCGAGCCTTCTGCCCTCGGCCGCGGGTGGGGAAAGTTCTGCGGGATGGAGATAGAGGATGGTCACAACTTTCCTTCCGCTTGGCTAAAAGCAGTGAGATCCCAAGGCGGCAAGACACCGACCACTGAAGCTGCAATCTAATATTAAAGTGAAGGGATAGGTGCTGGTAGAGGGAAAAGCTCCGAATTTTTTCCGTCTTTTCCAAGCAATGTTTTCATCCATTCTACATCAGTGTCTGCACAAGTCTTTGCTTCTCCCAGTCTCCCGCTGTATTCTGGATGGAGGAGATTTTTAATCTCTTGCTTGTGCCAATCCGATTATTGCTATTTTAGTCAATCTCCTCTGGCACTTTTTTCCCCAATTCGTGAGTTTTCTGATCAGAAAGAGGTTGCTGAGTCTATACCTGTATTTCTGTCTTCTGCAGAAAATCTCTCTCTGCCCCAGTCATCTTTGTTTAAAGGTTTGACTTTTTTTTTA